TGTATCAACACATAAACCGATGCACGAACAGTTGAATGGAAGCGAATGACCACAATTTATTTGTTTTGTCTGAAATGTATTTGCGCATCCTAATGAGTAGTATAAACCACACCGTCGGTATGCCATGAGCTAGTGGTTAGAGATTCAACCAGATACACTCGAACATACTTTGGGTGGTGGTAACATATGAGGTACATCATGACTCAAGTCGGCTACTTTATCGATGTCCAGAAATCCTGCACCTGGGATACGGCATGTCTTGAACTCGTGAAATGGGTCACGCTTGGCTGCGGGCATATGCCACGAAGCGTCTATAAAACGAAGTTTATTGCTCACACTAGGATCTCGAAGCTTCGAGACCAGCTTGGACACAGACAATAGCGCGGAAGGTCTTGTCATCGTACCGTTGTAGTGTGTACGTGTTTGGCTTTGGCTTACGCTCTGTATCCTATATTTACTTCAGATGCCGATGCATGCATTGTCTAGTATGTAGTAGGATATATTTACAACATGATGAAACTCAAGTCTCACACCTGCAGGGTTCTAAGGCCTACCCCTCATCAAAAGTAGCCAAGCTTGTCATACCAGTTCACCAGATTTAGCCCAAAGAATTGATGACAGGTAAAACAAAGTGTCAATTTGAATTCAATTGACAGATGTCAATTGGACCATTCTCTGATCAGCTTTGCCACGTAGTTGAAGCCTTTGTCGTTTGTTTCATGTAGACGAAGGCTATTTACGTCTTATACCGCTTTTGTTAATAATGACCCAAGCGCATAGTGGCTGGCGATGTCAACCCAATACGTAGTTATTTATCTGTCACACGAAGCGACATACGACGACTATGTTTGGTATATTGAATCAAAGGTGAGGCCGTTTATTGTGTGCAGCTTTGTCCCTGTCGATATATTCTGAAACGTTGCACACAGGATAAATGCATGTAGTATAAAATATATAATTAATACACATGATATGTGAGCATACACAGTACAGATAAACACACGCAAACACGCAGAAAAACGCACTTACCTACACAAACCACTTACGTATTAACGCACACACACACACACACACACATATATATATATATATATATCATATACACATACGTGCACATGAATACACACACACACATAAAAGACACACACACACACACACACACACACAC